TACAAATGTGCTTTCCAGATGATTCTCTTGATGTGTGTGTTAAAATCCAGCTGTCAGCTATATAAGTAGAAGTAGCTTTTAAGTAACAGTTACCATTTGGTTTATTTAGGCCTGGGGCTATAGCTTTAAGCTTAGCTTTGATTTATTTATATTCTTTTCTCCAGACTGATGTGGGAAATCTGGATGCCATATGTCAGGAACATAGTGGCGCAGTGGCAACCGAGGAACTGTGGATCAATGGTGGATTTCTTGGATAGCTGGGTAAACGTCGTCCCTGTCTGGATACTGGAAAACATTCTGGATCAGCTCATCTTCCCCAAGCTACAGAAAGAGGTAAGATGAGAGTGTTAGCATAAATCCATGCTCTGAACCAGTATTTGAATTTGTCAACTACTAAGATACTGGTTTACTACCTCTGCTGATGCATTTAGGAGTTAGGGGGTTGCATTGTGGGGGTTTTCACATGTAGTAAGACTCACTGATAGAGAACAGGCTTATTTTAATCTTCTCTGTTTTGCCTCAAGGTCGAAAGCTGGAATCCTCTGACAGACACGGTCCCAATCCATTCGTGGATCCATCCCTGGCTTCCTCTGATGCAGGCACGATTAGAGCCGCTGTATTCTCCCATCCGAAACAAGCTGGCCAACGCACTGCAGAAGTGGCATCCCAGTGACTCCTCCGCCAAACTTATCCTGCAGCCCTGGAAAGATGTGTTCACACCTGGGTCATGGGAGGCTTTCATGGTCAAAAACATTGTGCCTAAACTAGGTGAGACAAGCCTAGGCACGATGCGTTTCAGGAATCTGCTGGTTGCCACCTTCCCCCTTACACTAGAACAGACCTGTGTTGATGTGGTTGCCATTGTTACTTTAAAGAATAAGTTTGGGCCAAGCTTGCACCTTCCTTTCTGCTACTAGTACTGTGCATTTTTTTCAGAGGCAGACATTTTAGACTGGGGAAGTGCTATAATTATTCTCAGTGTTTTCTGTCTTTTCTAAATCATCAGATTCCTCTGTTCTTCAGCTGACAAGAATATCTGATAGCTGTCAGATAGTGTCAAGCTGTAAAACATCTCTGTTGCTCCTGCATTCTTTAATCTGTGCTAATGGCTTTGATGCTGAGGTTTCATAATTCACCGTTCAGCCATGCAAACTGCCTGAAAGGCTCTGTTGTCCTAAAAACAGTCAAAATGCTTTTAAGTTTCTCAGTTCTGGCAGCAAATTGTAATCAGTGGAAATGGAGGTGCACTGTTTTGGTGGCAGGGAGCAGCCAAATGGTTTAAAGAGCCCAAATGTCCCTTAGGGTAATACATAGTACAGGTGCTCCTCAAATGATGTGTGTTAGTAGTGAAATAGGTCGGGCGCTGACAAAACTGATTCAAACTCTCTTCTAACTCTTCTCCCCCTTTCCTAGGGATGTGTTTGAACGAACTCATCATAAACCCCCACCAGCAGCACATGGATGCCTTCTACTGGGTGGTTGACTGGGAGGGGATGATTTCTGTCTCCAGTCTTGTTGGGCTGCTGGAGAAACACTTCTTCCCAAAGTGGCTGCAGGTGAGAAACTTATCAAGGTTGAGTGAATGGGTTTGATTCACTGTGAAGTGTCGTGGTGCCTGTTGCCTAGTAATTGCTGCCCCAGTGCTGAAATAGATTTAACTAGTTTGGTTTAACTGCCAGATGGGGTGATTTCCACTCATAGCTCCATGTGCATCAGAACAGATTATTTCCTGAGACTGTGACAGTCATTTATTTTACTGAAAGCTCAGTAATAAATAAGTTAAATGGTAATAAGGACTCTGTTCCATAAATGTACCTGTCCCGCCACATTTCATCTGTCATTTTGTTTTGCAGGTGCTGTGCTCTTGGCTTAGTAACAGCCCCAATTATGAAGAGATTACAAAGTGGTACTTGGGTTGGAAGTCCATGTTTTCAGACCAAGTGTTAGCACATCCGTCAATCAAAGACAAATTTAACGAAGCTCTTGATATCATGAACCGGGCTGTCTCTTCCAGTGTTGGTAAGTGGCTTGTGATGGCTCTGCTTGCTGCACTGGCAGCACAACAACACTTGGTTCTTGTGAGTCTGTATTTAGGCATGGCCCTGCTAATCCGCAGTGTAGCAGCTCCCGTGAGCAGGGAAATTGGAAGTGTGTTTTATCTTATTGTGTCCATCAATAATAATAATTAATGGCTTGAAAATTGTCTGTGAACTGAAGCAGAAGGAGATTTTTGGTGGCTGCCTGTGCCATTAAGCAACTGATTCTCTTTCAGCCTTGCTTGATTATGGTGTGGTTTATGTCAGGCACTGAGAGACCAGTGATTTAAATCTGATACTGACTTCTGAAGCTATAATTTGTTGGGGTTTTTTTCTTTACGGTGTGATACTGGTTCTTCTCCTGAGCTTTAGAGCAGTGCCCTTTCCCTCCACATGACTCTCCCTGTGATCTGAAAGAGATTGTTAGGAATTTGCTGGGAATTAAGCTGTATACAAGAGAAGGTCTTGCCCTGTCTTCCAAGACTGAGAACTCCTGTCCTGTGTCCTCCCTACCCACTTGGTGTACGGTGGGATGGAGAATCTGCATCAGGACCATGGAGGATTCCTTGAGGTCTGTTTTAAGGGTTGTATGGTTTTACCACAAATAAACATAACTACAGGTAAGTGTTGCAGAAAGAGGAATTCACCCGTTAGGAAATTTCTGGCGTGGTACTCGTGCAGCCACAGAGCGAACTGGGGCTGATAGCGAAAGTGCTTCTGACACAATGCTGCTTCCTGCAGTGTGGTTCTGCTCCCCCCTTGGCCTGGTTTTGCAACAGTCACTGTTGGTAACCCAGCAGTGGCACATGGGGACCACAGGCCAGGTTTTGGCTTTGAGGAGTACTTTTTGCTGTTCACATTTTCCCTTTGCCAGTAGCAGCGCAGCATCCTCCTCTCCTGTGCGTGCTCAAGTGTGTTTTGGGATTGTATCAAATCCTGTTGCTTATGCTGCAGTTCTCAAATTCACCTAGCTAGTCTATGATGTATTAGCATTAATAGCATAAAACTTAATCAGAATGCGTAAAGGAGGATCCAGAACGTTATGGATTGACTTTAATGTGTCCAGGACTGGACTTTACCCATAGACCTTCCACCAGAAATGGACTGGGACCTTATTTTCACAGAATCACAGAATCGCTCGGTTGGAAAAGACCTCTGAGATCATCACGTCCAACCGTTCCTGTCTACCCCCTAAACCATATCCCTGAGTACCTCGTCTACCCGCTCCTTAAACACATCCAGGGATGGTGACTCCACCACCTCCCTGGGCAGCCTGTGCCAGCTTCTGACAACCCTCTCAGGAAAGAACTTCCTCCTTATCTCTAACCTGAACCTCCCTTGGCACAGCTTGGTGCCGTTTCCCCTTGTTCTATCCCCCATCACCTGGGAGAAGAGCCCAGCACCCACCTCTCTACAACCTCCCTTGAGGCAGTTGTAGGTGGTGATGAGGTCTCCCCTCAGCCTTCTCTTCTCCAGGCTAAACAAGCCCAGTTCCCTCAGCCGCTCCTCATCAGGCTTGTTCTCCAGAGCCCTCACCATCCTTGTGTTTTCACGTGTTTTGTCTCTCCAAACAGGTGGGTACATGCAGCCAGGCGCTCGAGAGAACATCGCCTACCTCACTCACACCGAGCGGAGGAAAGACTTTCAGTACGAAGCCATGCAGGAGTGTCGTGAGGCTGAGAACATGGCCCAGCGCGGCATCGGCATGGCTGCCAGCTCCGTGCCCATGAACTTTAAGGACCTCATTCAGACAAAAGCGGAGGAGCACAACATTGTTTTTATGCCCGTGATTGGAAAGCGGCACGAAGGGAAACAGTTGTATACGTTTGGACGGATTGTCATTTACATCGACAGAGGCGTTGTGTTTGTACAAGGGGAAAAGACTTGGGTGCCGACCTCTCTCCAGAGTCTCATTGACATGGCCAAGTGAGGCCCCTGCTCCGAACTGTGAAGATCATCTCACCAATATTTTTAGTGTAACTGTCGCAGAATAAAAAAGCTGCAGATTTGTAAAGAGAGCCAAACTGTAGCTGCATGCCGGGATTTTATTTTTTTTTAAGAAGAGCTGTTCAGGCAGTGTCAAGAGATGAAATTACAGGTGGAAGTCGGTGCTAAGGGAGGAACGAGCAGTTCTGATGCTTGTGTAACTGCCAGCGGTGATAGAGGTTTATCTGCAGGTTAGAAGGGCCCACGGGAAGCGATTTTCTGCACCAGCAGCAGAGCGAGGGCTCATTTAGCTGAGTCCTGAAGGTCTCCAGCGACTGAGATGTCACAGCTTCTCCTTGCCCTGGCAGCAAGTAACTGTCCTGACAACGTCCCACGTGCAGCCAGGACTCGTCCCACCTTTCCTGGGGTGAGCTGATGGCTCCTTCAGCCTGGTGCCTGCCTGCAGGTCATCAGCTGCTCTGGGTGCCCTCTGCTCTGTCAGCACAGAGCTGAAAGAAGGCAGCTTTTCCCAGCAGCACACAGTTTAGGGCACAGAGATAAGGGAGGGAAACTGAGGCTTTTTTTCCCCTATATCCCTATTTTATTTTCCTCGATTCCTCACAGAAGAACAGATAAAGTGGTGATTTCAGTAGCACTGAGCAACTGATAACTTTTATAAGCCTGCATCTGGAACTAGACACCAATACCTTTAACTGCAACACCCTCTCCTGTAATTCCCCCTTCCTGATGCTTTGAAATGTGTGTAGTACGTGCAAAAGCTTTGAATTGTGCATGAAAGGGTGATCAGAAGAGCAATCACCAAGTACAGATGGCTTCAAAAGCCAGTTTTAGTTAAATTAGTTTGCTATAGAAGTGACTACAAGTCAAAGCGCAGCTTTACCTTTTATTAAAAAATGAAGATACAAAAATGTCCCATCACACTCAGTGCTTTTGGCGGAGCACAAGGACACTGTCAGTGCTTGAGTTTCACCACACAGCTGCTGTGGGAAGAGATGCAGCCCCAAGGCCCCCCTGAGGTCAGGACCTGGCAGCAGTGGGACTGCGCTGCTCTGCGCTCTCCTCCTTTCTGATGATCTCCAAGTCCTCACATTCTTGGTATGTCGGCTCCTCCACGCAGTCCCAGACCTCAGGGGAGAGTTCCTTCAGTTTTTGCAAGGGAAACCAGTGGACAGAGGTGTCGTTGAAGGTGTCCAGGTACCGAGGGTGAGTGGGGAGCGCCGCCTCCTCTGTCCCTTTCAAGACCTAAAGAGCATTTGGGGGAAAAGTTATGGACAACAGAGGACTTCTCTGCAAAGTTAAGAGTCAGTGAAGATGGCAATGGTGTTATGTTAACCTCGTTAACCTCAACCCTTATGCAGCGTGTTCTGTGGATAATGTAGAATGATCCTAAAGTGCTTCATTTTTATATCAAAAAAAGGTTTTTAAAATAACCACCCTCCTCTTTCCATTTGCAATTAATTTCTTTTCTCATTAAAAGGTGTTTTGTCAACACAAACCAATGTTAAAAAATGAGTGGCTCATACCTTTGCTATGTAAGAATAATCTCTCTCCAGTATTCTTGACAACAGTCTAGAATAACAGAAGGTAACCAGCATTAGCCATGACACTCCTGTGAATTTAGAGAACTTTTTTGAACGTGTGTGCCATGGGAAAGGTGCGAGATGGCTGATGACTGCAAACAGGACAGCAAGTTGAAAATGAGCAACATCTGGAAATCAGTGTTAGAAGTTACAGAAAACGAGTGAAAGGAGCAGGGAGAGGAAAGCCTGGCTGGAGGCAGCAGAACCTCTCACCTCTCCTCAATGCCCCTGAAGCTGTTCCCCACGATGACCATTTTGGAGAGGGCCCCTGCCGACCAGTTCCTCCAGAGCAGGTTGTTGTACAGGGCCTTCCCGCAGTGCACCATGTAGAACAGCGTGGCCGAGCCCCCCACGCCGTGCTTCCCTTCCTGCATGGAAACCAGCGGCTCCCGTTACAGCCCGGAACGGTGCTAGCCCCTCACCGGGTCCCGGCACCCCAGTGGACCCCTCACCTCGTTGTCCGGGAGCAGCTGCAGCCCCAGTTGCCCCAGCGCTGCCACCTCCGCGGCGGCGAAGGCGGGGTCGAAGAGGGAGCACTGACCGGGGGGCCCCTGCGGGGAGAGACCGGCGGCGGTAGGCGGGGGCCGGGGCAACGGGGGCCTCCGGTTCCCCCTCCGGTTTCCCCCAGTGCTCACCCCCAGCTCCTCCAGCAGCAGCAGCAGGAACGCCAGCTGTGCCCGGGCGACGGGGCAATCGCTGAACCGGCCTAGCCCGTAGCAGACACAGCGGGCGGGCGGCTCCGCGCTCCCGTTCAGCGGGGCT